GAGAGAGAGAGAGAGAGAGAGAGAGAGAGAGAGAGAGAGAGAGAGAGAATATGTAACAAAGTTTTGTTTCTCATGTCTTATTGGCTGTTCTTTTCATTGAACTACGGGGATGTCTCCAGGGCTTGTGAAGAATGAAGAAGGCAGGACAAAGGAGAAATAGGCTAGAGAATGACGCGGTGACTCCGCACTTAATACTAGGAAAAAATATTAAATATCAAATCAGTATCAAAAATCAAGAGAAGAATAAATGAATGAATGAATGAATGAATGAATGAAAATAAAAAAACCAAGAGAAGAAAAAGGGTGATAGAGCTGTTATCGACAAAGGATGGCATAAATGAAATCCACACAATCTGGGAACGGGATGTAAAATACGGAAAAAGAGACCACGGTGGGGCAGAAATGCGTTAGGCAAGAGGGACATGAGGGACCTTTAAATAAGTGACTGAGAATAAATGTTCATGGAGAATGAATGCACTTTTATTATACTCCTTTTACACAAGCAGGAAAGGGCAATCTTAGAACCTTTTTTTCCTTTATCTGGTGCAATTACAAGTAGTTAACATTTTAGTGGCTTCCTCTTCCGCGGCTCTAGCCTGTGAATGGACGTCCAGGTCAAGTTCTTTAGGACTGTGATTCCCTGCTCAGCGTGCAACTTTGGAATCACATGGGCAGCTCGAACCGGGGCGGGTTCTCACTCCGAAGGAATTAAAGCCGAACGTCTTGGTGGGCGGTGCGGGGAACTGTGTTAAAGCTGCGTGCCCCTCTCCGGGGCTTCGGGGGGTTCCCAGGGCCGAGACCCTCCGCGGGCTTGAACCTTAGGCTCCGCCCCTCCGCGGGCAGCGGCGGCCGCAGTCCCGGGACGCGGCGTGCGCCCTCCCGATCGCTAGGGGGCGAGCCGCACGCGCTTAGCAGCCGTTTTTCGCCGGGTGGCCGGTCGACCCCGCAGGTGCGCATGCTCGCTGCGTCCCAGAGGGCGTCTGCGCCGGCTTCTCCCCACGTGTGGCGCGAGCCAGAGGGCATCATGTTGTGAGGACATGGGGGCTGCGGTGACTCGCCTAATAAGGAATTTCAACCTGGAGAACCGTGCTGAACGGGAGATCAGCAAGATAAAGCCCTCGCGGGCCCCCAGGCACCCCTCGACCAAGAACCGCCTGCGGGAGCAGATGAGTCGTAAGTGGTGCGAGGCGCGTGGGGGCGCGGGCGCGGGCTCCTGTGCGGGCTGGGCGGCTCCCGCCGGCGACGTCGGCCCGGCGACCCGGGGGGCCGCGGGGGGCTCTGCCAGCCGTGCGCGGGGAGGCGTGGCTCCCGGGCCGGTGACCTTGAGACGGCCCCCCTGCGCCCGCGGCGGAGTCCCGGAGGGCAGAGGCCTGTGTCCCCGCTGCGCGGGTCCCCGCGGGCTTCTTGCCTTTAACTCGGAGCGACTTGATTCAGGGAATCAAAATCCGAAGGGATCGCGCGCGGCGGAAGTTTTCCCTGCGCGTCTTCACAGGCGGACTGCGAGCCTGACAGCACTGTGACTGTCCTTCCTGTCCGATTGTGTGTTGGACAAACACATTAAAAGTGAATGTCTTGTGTTCAGTGCTTAGGATCTTAGAGGAAATTTTCTTTGGTTTTAATATCATGACATTCATTTTGTTTCCTTAGGCCATCCAGAAATTGAGGGAGAAATTTCCAGAAAAGATGACAGACTGTTGTCCTTCCTAAAAGATGTATATGTGGATTCCAAAGATCCGGCGCCTTCTGTGCAGGTAGTGTGTGTTTGGATTAAGTAAAGAACTTAGCCTTTTTGGATTCTAGGAAAATGGAATGGTCGAGAGAAGTGTGGCAGATAGTACAGGGAAGGGAGTCCTCTGCACTGGTAAAATTGTCAGTTGTGGTTTCTCTGAGCAGTAGGTGTCAACAGTGGGTTTAAAATAGTCAGTGAACCATTTGTAAACAGATAATGCTGTCATCCAGGCTATTTCATTTGAAGAGCACCAGCAGAATAGATTTAAGAAAATTCTTACAGGACTAAGATGTTCAGAATCATAAATCAGCATAGACCTCAACTTAAAGTCACCGGCTGCATTAGCCCCTGATGAGAGTCAGCTTGTCCTTTGCAGCTTTGAATCCAGGCATTGTGTACTTCTCCAGGTTCACGGGTCCTAGATGGCATCTTTTTCAATATAAGGCTATTTTTATATATATTGAAAATCTGTATACCTTAGCTAGATCTTTTGGCTAACTTGCTGCAGCTTCTATTTAAGTACTTCCTGCTTCACTTTGCACTTTGACGTTATGGAGATGGCTTCTTAAATCTCGCTAACCAACCTCTGATAACTTCCGACTTTTCTTCCGCAGCTTATTCAGCGCAGCCCTCATAGAATTGAAGAGATTTAGGACTTTGCTCTGGATTGATTAGGCTATGTTGTTGCTGGTTTGATCTTCCATCCAGACCCCTAGAACTTTATCCATTATCAGCAATAAAGCTTTTACTTCCTTCCCATTCATGTGTTCACTAGAGTTGCCCTTTTAATTTCCTTCAAGAACTTTTCCTTTGTGTTCACAGCTTGGTTAACTGACTCAAGAGGCCTATCTTTTGGTTTGTCGTGACTTTTAACACTTTAGCTTAATCATTGCTAGCTTTTGACTTAAAGTGAGAGACATGTGATTTTTCCTTTCCCCTGAACATTTTAGAGGACATTGTAGGGTCATTATTGGCTTAATTTCAATATTGTCTTATATTAGGGAATATGGAGGCCTAAGGAGATGGGGAATGGCTGGATCATGGAGCAGCCAGAACACACACACAGCTTTTATCAGTTAAGTCCGCCCTCTTGTAGGGACACAGCAAAACAGCTACAATAGTAACATCAAAGATCAAATCTAATAGTAATGACAAATGTTTGAAATACTTCAAGAATTACCAAAGTGTGACACCACAAAATGAGCAAATGCTATTGGAAAAGTGGCACCAGTAGACTTGCTCAACACAGGGTTACCACAAACCAATTTGTAAAAAATGCAATATTTGCTATGTGTAATAAAGCAAAGTGCAATAAAACAGGGTGTGCCTGTGTAATACATAAAGAGATATATAGTGGTGTTAAAAATTCATTTTAATTAGTTTTTCAGTGGATTCTCTTTATTTTTCCAAAGATTCTTATTATTTATCAGTTTGCAATTAAAATATTCTCTTCCTTTCTAGTACTTACGCTTAATTCTTGTTGTGTTTTCTATAGCATTAACGTAGCACTGAAAGTTGGTATTTCCTGTTCTTTACTCACACAGGTGGCCTCTGATGTCCATTAATTATAATGAAATGATATAGTTTCTGATTAAAAACTACTTGTATCACATTTGGGACATTATATTTTCAATTTGCTTAGAGATTTTTTTTTTTTTGGTCAGGAGAGGATGTTTAATTTTAACAGATATTTTTTGTATCATCATAATAATAGTTTTAGTATTAAATGCTAACCAGAAGGGAAATTGGAATAAAAGTTTATCTGTAGTGGAAGGAGGATCTCCCTGGGAATAGGAGAATAAACTTTGAGTTTAGGGAAATAAAGCAGTTAGAAGGAATGTGTCAGGGCATAGTTACAATATAAGGTAGGAGAGAGTGTGACACCCTTGGACAATGGTTAGAATGTAGTATCATTAGGGGAAAGTGTGAGGGATGAATTGGGAGAAATGGGGTGGATAACTGGTGATGGGGCCCTTTATATGTCTTGCGAAGACTTTGGATTTTATCCTGAGGAAGTCAGTGAAGAGTTTCATGTCAAAAAGTGACATCAGATATGCTTTACAATGGGACCAGTTGTGAGAGTGGGCTGGGAGGGAGCAAAATGCTTTTATCCAGTTAGAGGAGACCAGTTAGGAAGCTTTTGCAGTAATTCCTGCAAAGGACATGGGTATGGATGAGGGTGATTTAGTGACTCGGAGAGAAGTGATAGGTTCAATCAAGAGGGACTTAGAAGGCTGTGTCAGCAGAATTGGGTCCCTGATTGGATTGTAGTGAGGGAGAAGGAGATGTCGGATACAGCCAGAGAAGCTTTGAGTTTTGGAATGGATGGGGGAGGTGGGTGGTGGTGGCCACTGAGAGAATATGGGGATAGAATTGGATTTTCTTAGGCAAGGGATAATTTCAGTTTTAGACATGTTGATTTTGAGGCACTTGTAGATTTTCCAAGTAGAGATGCCTTTCAGGCATTTGAGAATGTAAGGCTGGAAGTCAGGATTTGGTTTGGAAGTCAGGTCTAGGTTTGAGATTTGAAAATCATTAACATGTAGGTAGTAACTGAAATTCAGGGGATGTGTGGGATTAGTTAGAAAGAATATATGGAGTGAAAAGAGGGCCCGGGCCAGAACTTGGGACACACTAACATTTAAGGGGCAGCTGGAGGGAAACAGCCCACAAAGAAAACAAGGAACCACTGGAGAGACAGAAACCTAGGAGAGGGCTGGCCTGGGAACCAAGGGGAAAGACAGTGGTGGGGACACTGGAGTGGTCAACAGCATCAGATGCTGTAGTGAATTCACCTAAAGCCTGAGAAGTGTCTTCTAGAGTAAGATCTATCTAATTCTCTGGATTAGACGTCACAAATATCTTTTAAAGCTTCACTAAAAAAAAGGAAACTGGTCATCACAAAGGAAGTATTGGTTTTGGGTTTGGTGGGTGTTTTTAAAAGTAGTGACTACAGCATTTTTCTATTTTGACCAAACAGCCGCGGTGGACAGGGAGCAGTTGAAAGGGAAAGGGGAGAAAGTGATTGGCATAGCCGGGGCCACAGGGGTGACAGGCGGAGCACAGCTGCCGGGCTCACACTTGGGGCGGCCAGCAGAGGGAATGGCGGGTGTGTGTAGGTCGTTTTATTTATGTTTGTTGGGGTATTGAAGGCATTAGTTTATTTTCTCTGGAGAGGTAAGATCTTTAACAATATTTGAACTCAGGGTATTTGGTGCACTGAATGTGAAATATAAAACTAAGAAACACTATGGAAAATTACCAAGTAAGCTGTTAGGGCAGAATCAAAATCCTTCCCTTCTAAAGCAGTTTTTAGTCAAATCGATTAATTTTTCTGTTAGTATACATGAAATAATATGGTGAGTGGATGGTATATATTCGATTATTATTTTCCGAAGTACCTGAATTTCTTAATGATTCACTGAGCTGTAGTTAGGAAACGGTAGTTTGGTAAATGCCATTAAACTTTGGCTCATTGTAATGTGAAAATGTAGTTTGGAGAAGCATGTGTAGCGTTTATTTAAAGAATACTGGAGATTTGAGAAGCATGTAAGTAGATGTCACACCTGTTCTCTCAGCTTGAAAGTATTTTCCTTCGTTCCGTTTTTGGTACTAGGTGAAAGATGCTGAAACTCCTCAAGAGCCAAAGGAATTCAGGTTGCCAAAAGGCCAACAATTTGACACGATGAATATGAACATTCCCAGAGGCAAAATTTCCATTGAAGAGGCATTGACACTTCTCAATAATCATAAACTTTATCCAGAAAAATGGACTGCTGAGAAAATATCAGAAGAATACCATCTGGAACTGAAAGACGTAAATTCCCTTCTCAAATATTTTGTTACCTTTGAAGTCAAAATCTTTCCTCCTGAAGATAAGAAAGCAATACAATCAAAATGAAGAAAATCTTGGAATTACTTTTGCTATATATTCTCCCATTCCCATACCTTGTTTCTTATTTTTAGCATATATAAATTACTGAATGTTTAAAGCTTCCTCTTTGTGAAAGCATGCTATTTATTGAGCTCTGCTGAATTTTTAGGATGGCTGGTTGAATGAATTTTTTTTTTTTTTTTTAAATTTGGTTTAGGCATATATTCATATGAAATAGCATGATTAATCACATGTACCAATATATTACAAATAAAAGAGTTCATGCATTATTTTAGGCACACTGTATCATCAGCTTTTAAATTGGTCATATGGCTTCTTGGGAAATGTCCTGAGTTTAACGTTCAGAGTTCTTCTTTCCAACTCAAGTAGTTAGTTTATTCTTGCTCCAGAACAGTGGAGGTACCAGCTCTCTTGCCCTTAACACTAACATTTTCTTGCTAGGGAGATGGATACTTGACAGTAAGGCAGAATAACTGTTTCATAAAGCAGACAGGAGACTGGAAACAAAATTAACAGAGAATACATTTTTATTACTCCATGTAATATGAACTGGAACTTATTTTGGTTTGAATTGGTTTTACATATGGAATAACTTAAATTGTAAAAATGAGCTGGAGTTTATATAATTTTAGCCGTCTGCTTTGACAAATGAACAAGTAATTCAAAAAGCCTTCAGAGAGGTGGTGATGGGAGCTACCTGAAAAAATTCCTTCCCTCCAGACTTGAGAAGTACAGGAAAATTTTAAAGAGAGGTTGAATCAACCATGGCAAATGAAATTTGGTGACCAAAGACATATATTTTCCTTCTCCAATGCTGGTTGAAAGAAGAGGGAAAAATAGCAAGTAGATGCATAAAATGTGATCCTTTTTAAAGGGACCTGGGAAATGGCTGCTTCAGCCATTTAACCAGCTTAGGAGCACAATGTGCACCAGTACTAGGGCCTTGAGTGAGGCTGTGTAAATTTAGCTCTGTCATAATACTACCGCCTTTACTTACATCTAAGGGATACTGTGAAGATAGTAAGGTTACAAAAGGACTCAATAAATACGACTTATTGTTTGGAGTTGAGAACAGAGGCCTGCGGCTGGTTTCATGGCCTATTTAAGATAATGCTGTTTATAACACAGCCAGGCTCAGAATTCAGGTTTTCCAAATCCTGGTGGTGTGTTTTTCCTGCTGTGCCAAAAAGAAAGTGACTTGTAGGAATATTGGGAAAGTAGTAAGAAAAAATTCCAGGTTATCAGTGTTTTTCTGAGGGAAGATAGACATTCCCCACCTCCCAGGGGTTCCCTTGGAAATGGTATGGAAGATGCTGAGTAATTCAGAATAACAGTGGAATGAGCAAACATTTGTAATCCTTGGAAAACAAAAATTGAGATGGGAAATTTTTAAGCTTGAGTTCAGTTGCATTATGTGACTAAACTACCTCGACCTCGTTTATGTTTGACTCAAAACAGTTCTTTTAAGAAAGCAACTCTATAAAATTGCATTTTTAAAAACTGGTAAATTATTTTTTTTCTTTTATCAAATAAAGGTAAACACTTGAATCATTAATACTGCTTTTTCTGAGCCATCTTCCCTATTCAGATCTACACTGGTTAGATATCTGTAAATACGGCTATTGTTACATTGTGTCACATGATAAAATACTTCCCACATCATTCATTGGCCTATTAATGCTTTCTCTCTCACACGTTGGAAGGCACTTGGGTGGTTGTCACAGGAAGCAAGCTTAGATTTCAGAACACTTGGATGTAGATATCTGCATCACCACTGGTCATCTGATCTTGGCTGTGTCTTCAACTGTGAGATGCAATAATTACTAATATCTTAAGAGCAATTACACTACTAGGCTCTGATGTAGGTGCCGTAGATGTATTAACTTGCTTAAACTTTACCACACAGGTTTGAGGATAAAAAACCATATTTTACAAGGAAAATTGAAGCATAGACATGTAAAGTAACTTAAGAGATAACCGAGTTAAGTGTCACAACCTAGATTTAAACCTTAGTATGTTAGTTTTAAAACCATTAGCTCCTAAATGCTGTGTTGATTCTCTGGGATTAGAGGAATTAAGGTGGCGTACCACTGAAATGTCTTCGATAAACTAGAAGGTAGGGTCATTCTAACCATAAAAAGCACTGATGTAGGTCTTGAAGGCCACCTGGAATCTAAATGCATGTCTTTTAGCCACACTCTGTCAACATGTAGTATCTCACTATGAACCACTCAGGAATGACTCCTGTCTCCCAGAGGGCTTTGCTTGGCCCCATGTAATGCTTGTTTTTGTTCATACATTCCCTCCTCATGCATGCGCTTAAACACACATACTCCCAAGATGAGGGTGGGGAATACGGTGAACAGTCAGTGGTAGTGTGAGAAGGAAGCTTCTGTACCCGTATGTGGAGGCATTGAACATGGCTCAGTGCACCCTGAATTGGGGTGGTGCTTCAAGATAGCTTGCTGGGTACAAGCTGGAAGTATATAAGAAACGAGCATGTATATAGGATTAAAATGGTTTTATGCATCTTAAATAGTCATCACTCACTGTTTTGACAGCTACTTGGTCCTGATAAACACCAATCCATTAGTTTGAGAGAAGGAATGTTTATCTGGATGCTCCATTTCTTCTGCTTTAGGAATAATAAGACCAATTACTTAGAGAAGGAGAAATGATGAAATACCAGAAGTACTTGGATCTCAATCCTTATATAAAAACCCAAGCTTTACATTCAGAGCATCTGGGCCACTAATACCATGGCTTTTCTTTGTCATTGCACTCCAGCAACACAACTATGTCTTGGGAGAGCAGGTGAGTAGAATTGTAGACGGGACACTCACCAGGTAGAAGAACAGAATCCTGAAGAGCAGAGATGAAGTTCTGTAATTTTTTTTTGTGATGTTGCGAAGTGTAGTAGGTAACACCCAAATTGCTTCCTGTGAGGAAAAAGGCAACAGCTAGGTCATTATCAAAAGGAGCAATTCAGGAACAAAAATACGGTCAAAATGGGATAAGCCAGTACTTGGGAGTTAAGTAATTCTTGAGATGAAATAGGTAACAGTGTACGGTCTTGATGCGTAGGAAAACTTCTTGGTTGCATGTAAGAATATACTCATTGGAAAGGTTATCTAATTGTGAAAGACGAGAGCCACAATAATATCGCCTGACCGAAGCACGTAAACTAATACAAGGGTTTATGTGTAGGATTGATTACTGACAACCACATCTGGAAATAGAGACCACTGAAGAGGAAAATAAACATTTTGTTTATTTCTAAAAGAAGCCTCAAACCTTTTCATTATTCCAGAAGAATAAATATTGAGTACATTCAATAGGTATGTGTTTGGTAGTAAAAATTCTATGTGGAGATAATGATTTTGAGTAATTTTGCTCTGGTGGTATAGTTTGCAATACCTAAGTATGAAAAAGTTCATAGAGTTTTCTTTTAAAGTCTTCCTGCATTTCAAGATAAGCAGAGTACAGATCATCCAGTAATTTAATTGAACTATATAATGAAGATTATTACTTTCATTTTAGAAGTATCTATAAGTTCCTTTCATTTTTCAGGGATGATTGTTACACAACAGTATGTTTTTGTGTCATATTTAGGTTTTATTTTTCTTGAAGATTACTTCTTTCAATATATGACATTATGACTTCACTTTATATGAGTTGGTAAGTATATAAACATGCTACTTTTTAATTACCCGAATAAGAAAAAATATAAATGGGCTCCTAGCTGTTATTTAGATTATGATTAGTGTAGGGAAAGTCTTGCATGGAGTTTGCAGCTCCGATTAACTCTATTCATTGCTCCTTAGGCCCTTATGCCTTCATTACTCAATTATTTCTTATCAGCCTTCCTGCTTCCGGTGCTGGTTTACAGCTGATGCTATTGGTTCAGGTAAGAAACTTGGACATACAAAAACCACTTAAAATTTGTCTCGTAAGAAGGAAAGGAGGGGGCAGAGAGATTAGTTTTGCCTTACAAACATCCAAGAAATACTGCAACGTCCCCAAAGTATATGAGTACATGAGTACCTTTGTATACCTAAGTATGAGTAGCTTTGCTCATAACCTATGAGTAGGTTATTTACCTTTTTGTTGTTGGTACATCTTTTCATTTTATTTGCGGGCATGGTGCTTCCGCGGAATAGCACTAGGTAAGAGAAAGGACTTTAAAGGGGCCAGATTAAAGGAATTCTAAAGCCTCGAAAACGGCATCCTCAACGAGGCCTCTGAACATGCTGTGTCCCCGGAGACCCCCTTTCAGGTCGGGCAAATGCGTGACCCACTTCGAATGTAGATACGAGACTAATAGTATGATTTTTGGAACCTCTCTCGTCTCAAGTGTTTCAGTCAGCAAGGAGACGACCAACACTGCAGCCGTGCTTCACAGTCCGTGCCGGCGGCCCCGGCCTCCCCGCGCTCCCACCTCCGCCCCGGCCGCCCCGTGCGCCGCCGCGTCCCGCTCCGCGCGGGGGCAGCGGCTCGGCCGCGCGCGCTCGGCTGTAGGCCGGGCGCCGAGAACGTGCTGGGCGCGCTCCCGCGCCTGTTCCAGGCGCGGCGGCGCGCAGCCAGCAGGCCCGCGGCGGCCGGGCCACCTCCGTGGACAGAAGCGCAGACCTGGGAGTTCAGCCGCACGGACCGGCGTCGCGGGACCTTCAGAGGGTCCCTCGGGCGGGGACGCGCCGGGTCTGGAGGCGGCGGCGGTCCCGCTGACCCCGAAGACGGTCGCGGTGGCGGAGACGGACGGGACGGGGACGCCGCGGACCGTCTGCCAGGACGCCGCCAGCCGCCCGTGCGGAGACCGCGGCCCAGGGCTGGGGGGCCGCCCCGGGGCTTGGGGGGCAGTTCGCCCATGTGACCGGCGTCCTACCGCCGCCCCAGCCTCCCCAGCTCCGCAGGGAGATTCCCCGTGGGGCTTTCCCGGGCCGATTCCTGACCTGTCAGTCAAAGTTCTGAAACAGGACGGGAAATACTTCACGCAGGGGACCCGTGTCAGTCGGACGGGAGCCCCGCCGCTCTACGGAGAGCCGCTCGGGCGCCTGTGTCGTCCAGTGGAGTTCTGGAAGCAGACCGTCAGTGCCCCTTCGTGCTCGGAACTGGGGGTGTTTGCCCTGTCTGGGAGACAGCCCAACCTGGAAGATCGATGTCCCCTAATCGTGTGGGATGCAAACAGCCTTCCTGACCTTCATGCGCTGTACATGGCATCGCAAGAAGTCGGGCAATTGGTGGTGAATTCCTTCGAGTTTTTTTTTTTAATTTAAAAAAAGCAAGTGGAAAATGTGTACGGTTTATTTGTTTTTTTTTTTTTTTTGAAACTCTACTATAGGATGATTAGACAGCACAGGGGAAGCTGCTAAATGCACTGAATCCCTAGAATGTGACTTTCGTAACTTTTTTTGTGTGTGGGCGTCTTTTGTATTTGTTTTGGTAGGCTTGGAATTTGTTTTTTTTTGTAGCAATGAACATCATTTTTTTGTTCCGGAGGGAAGTTCTTGATGGTGTCTCTTCCCGCCCAAAATTGACTTAGATATTAAAATTTGGTGCTTATCCAGAGTTAAAAAAAATGAGTAGCCGTGCTTCAATTAAAATTGCAATGAGAAAAAAAGTGGCTTTTCAAATCATTTCCTCAAACCAATTATGTTGCTAATTATTTACACTTACTTATTCATTCACCACAAATATTTATTGATCTATTTACTGTGTGCTAGGCTGGCACTATTCTAGGAGCTGGGGATACAGCAGGGAAGATAAGGCTTCATGGAGCTTGCCGTTTTATATTAGCTGCTGTTTTGGTTATCTATTGCTCCTTAACCATCTCAAAACCTCGCAGTTTAAGTCAATGGTTCATTGTTCATGGTTGATTCTGAGAGTTCAGTGACTGGATCAGAGCATGTAGGCAAGCTCTTCATGGGACGTGGGCTTCTTGTAGCACAGTCACGGGCTGGGTTTCAGAAGCAAATGTTGTAGGACAAGGAACTGTCAGAAGTTGTCAGTGCATCAAAGCTTGTCTGGATTCACGGGTAGAGGATGTAGGTCTCCCTCCCTGTGGGTAAAGTGTCAAAGAATTTGTTACCATCTTTGCCCTTTGCAGTGCGTCATAACAGGACGTGCATGATGCCAATTCATCTCATTTTGGTGATGTTAACTTTCATGGCTTGGTTAAGGCGGCTCTGCCATATGTTCTCTGTAAAATTACGCCCCACCCCCATAATTAGTAAGCTTTGATTAGAAAGGGGCATGAGAGGTACTGAAAGTATTCTGTCTTGATCTGGATGGACATTTCATTAGTATATACATATGCACAAATACATCAAATCGTTCAATTCCAAATAAAGCATTTTACATACTTCAGTGCATTATGCTTAATACCTCAGTAAAAGAGAAAAGAGCATGTGAATCAAAGGTGCCACCTTCACCTTCCTGCCTTGCCTGATTGTACTTCGGTTGGTTGGTTGGACAGGGATTCTGCTTGTCTCCCAGTTACAAACTCAAGACGCCTCTGACTGGTCCCTGAATCACCCCCACTCTCAGCTTCCAACCTCAGTCACAACTTTTTATAATTCATTTTCCAACTGGCACCCACAGTAAATTTTCTTTAAAAATGCAAATGTAAAACTTGCTTCCCTGTTCGCTGTTTTAAATTCGTCCCATCACCCCTAGGATAAAATCCAAGTTCTTTAAATTATACTTAGCTCCATACCTGCTTAATCTCTCCACACTCATCTCTCATGACTTTCTCCATGTGAACCCCAGCCTTCCTGTTTCCTACTGAGGTATGTATTTACTTATGGCCTAAAGAGCAAAATAACAATGCTGAAGTGGTTTATTGAATGGTAATTTAGTTCAATTCTGTTAAATGAACATTCCTGCGTATTACTGAGGGCAAGTCTCTGAGCTAGGTACAGAGCTAAGAGTTATGATAAGGAATAAACATAGCCCGTAGAACAGGATGGTGTCCTAGTCAGGATATGGTCCAAGTCCTTCATTTGCAGGTTTACATGTCTAAAGTCAATCAGATGCAAAGTCTAAAACTCAGGGTCCTGATTCCCCAATTCACCATACAGTGTTATACCTACCTTGCGATACCACTTAATTTCTTAAACAGAACCTAGAAATATTGCAAGATTTTATAATCTTTTTCATCAGAAATAAAATTAGTAGTAGATCTAGTTTTAGGTTTAGGTTTCTAGTTGTACTCTAGGGCTTTGAAAATATTTGCAACTCCTATGTAGTGCCTGTGATAATTTTTTATAAGTGAACTAGAACCTATAAGCCATATTAGTTAGGCACATCTGCAATTTAAATAATGAGGTTCCCCCCACCTATTGGGAAGGTATTTAAACATTCTCAGTATTTTGTTCCTCCACCAAGCAAGTTTGCCCACTATTTATTAAGCTGTGAGAATATGTCAAAATAACAAAAAATAAACATATGATCTGCAGAAGATAACATAAACAAAAACAAAAAACATGATCTTCAGAATAAAACATCGTACCAATTTACCATTTTTATGTATCTCTCTGCAATACCTGATAATGATAAGAAAAATTAGTTTCCAGATCTATGGAACTTCTTTTTTCTTGCTTTCATTTTCTTTATGGCTTTGTAAACTTAAATCCCCTCTACTGCAGATGTGCCCCCAGATTTTAAATTTTGCTACAAATATTCTCAGAATATGTAACATTGCTTATGAGTATAAAACAACATGGTTTTACTGAGAATTTAATAGATCAAAAGAGACTTCTGTAAAACAATGTATTACTTTAAGAGGAATGTCGAACTTGATTTGTGATAACTTACTTATGAGAGTATGAGATGTAACACATTGGAGAGATTAATTCTTAATTATTTAACTTGATACATAATGTAATATAGTCAGATGCTATCATTTGAGATTTTATTATTTGACAGTAATAGCCAAATCAAACCATTCAAATAAAAGTGATCTCTAAGAAGAAAGCGAATAATGCTTTGCTAAGTAAACTCTTATTTTGAGACAAGCACTTGGAACACATTTCACTTGTTCTGGAGAACATATTGCTTTTAAAACCCAAAATTATTTTAAAGATTGTAAATTTTTAAACTTTTAAAGCTCAAAGTTGCTTTGAAGACATAATATTGCTCTGTATTTGAGGAGTTATGTTAATTACAATTTGTATCTATTCTTTCTCAACTGGACTTCTATTTAGAAAGGTGTGTATGTCTATACATTTTTGTTTTTCCTGTGATTTTGCAAGAGATAAAACTGCACTCCTTTAAAAATGTTGTCATAAATGCAGTTTCCATTTTTGTTAGCTTGATTTGGGAGATTTCAATTGAATTCTAGTGATGCTCAACTTTTATGAAATGAATAATCTGTAGGAAACCCAAAAGCAAAGCCTTTTATTCCTTTCTGGAGTACTATAAATCTATGAACCATTGAGTTTATAAAGATAATGGGTGATAATGATAAAGATTTTTTATGATGGCATATATTTACAGAGTTCATTATTTATAGATGTGGTGGTAAGTACTGACATTCCCTGTTTCATTTATCTTCACAATTACTTTACATGGTAGCTTCTTTTATTATCCCCAATTTTCAGGAGAGAAAATGCAATATTAAAGTGCTAAGTTCCTGCGTGAACTAAGATCACCTTGCAAGTCCAGGAGGGGAGGACTATCCTAAATGGACTTCCTCTCCGGAGCCCAGGTTTTGACCCCAGTGGTGGGGGGCTATTTCACCATCACCACACTGTATTCTACCGGCAACGCCTGGTACCAGCAAGTTAGATGCTTTTTAACTTTGAAGCCAGAAAAAACATGACCATTGCGGACAGTAAAGATTCCCAGAAAGATAAATGTCAATGGGAAGTGACATATCACAGTGAATCTTACAAGGGACATGGTTATTGGTTGGACATCAAAGGAGAGAGAGGAATTCATCAAGGAGGAAAGTTAGTATAAGAGAGGAAATGACACATGACAAGCTTAGAGGTGAGATAGAGAGTGTGGAAATGGTCAATTGCTTGACTCAGATCTCGGTCAATAGTTTGCCTTGAATTCTTTTATCTTGCATTCTTCCCCCACCCAAGGATTATGCTTTTGGTTTCCCTATATTTACAAGTTTAGAGGACTTAGGCTGTCCTGTATTGCTAGAGCCTATCTTACATCACCTTC